AATTATTTACTTCAAGGTCCTTCTAAAGAGAGTGAAGATATTACATCCATGCCGGATATTCAAAATTTGGGTTAAGAATTTTCGAAAATGCATGTCATACACAAGTAACAGTTTCCCTCCAGTTTTATTTATTGCAGATAAATCTGATCAGAAAAATACAAAGAATTTAATTACACAGATTTACAAGAAATGGAATTCCCTTACTTGACTTTTTTATCTTTTTTTTATAAAGATGCATTCATACAAATGTGCTTATACATACATACATGCATAGTACGTGCATATACATACATACATATGTACAATGTATCCACATATACATACTTTGAGATACTGCAATATTAATTGGCCTATTAGCAGCTTGACTTGGGGATATGAAAAATACATTGCCCATTACCATAAATCAAGTTGCATCGTAAAGAAAATTGCATGCAACACATTCATACTCAAACACACCACACACACACACATATCCATATATGTTACTTGTCCCTACAAGACAGCTGAGTATCATATGAGTACTCATATTATCATTATCCCTAATCACAAAAGTGCTTATCAAAGTCCTCATTTTCGTTCAGGCCATGGGAAAAAATTGAGTACTTTCCCCTCAATGTTGTCATCAGAAAGTCCTCAGTACTAATAGTCAAACTACTCATTTATGCCGTACTACAAAAACTAAAGTGTAAATGTGTGAGAATTTTTGCCTAAAGTGCTCAGCAATGTCTTGTAGGGGTTTATCGCATATACAAGCGCTTGATGATGGGTCAGTGGCTAAGCAATGGTCAGGCCAATTTACAGGTTATCAGGATCTGTATGTAGGTACTGACATTCCCCGGAGACTGATTTGCTGCATTTTCAGACTCGTTCGTCGTTCATTTGTTTGTTGTTTCTGTGTGTGTGTGTGTGTTGAGTATTCCATTTTCAGTTATGGCAGGAAAAACGCTGATGTACTACTCGCACACATCTGAATTTCGCCACTGTCACTTTTTATGTTTGTCAAATTTGCAACTATGCAATTTTTGTTGTTGTTTTAGTTCGACACTTTTTGCCTCTTCATTCATTGTCGAATGTATTTATTTTGGCTTTTGGATTGCAGCAGCCACTTTCTGCAAATTGCAGCAATTTTTTCATACAAAGCAATTCCTCGTATATGAAAAATTTCGTTCAAGTTTTTTTTTGTAGTTCTTTGTATGTACATATGTGCAAAGTTTCACAGAGGTTATTTGCAGATGTGTACATACATACATATGTATTCCGTAAAATTTCGTGTAATGGAGTTTACTCAGAACTGCAGTTGGTTGCAATAAAAATCAGACTACCATTACTATTACCGTTACCTTACAAAAAAACTAACATTACTAATACCATTACCATTGCCATAACCATTATTACTACCATTACCATTACGATTACCGTTACCATTATGATTTTCATTATTTTTTATAAGTTATAACTTCACATCTTTTAAAGATATTTGGATCTTACATTTTACCAGAAAAAAATATTTTTTTACCTGTCCCGAAACTGATTCCACTTACAATTCTGCAAATTTTAATACAAGCATTCCTTAATACATTTATTATCGCTTCGAAAAGCTCGATAAATAAATGAAATTTTCGCTTAAATATGGTAAAATAATGAAGTTTTATTGCAATCCTCCAATATACATATTTATTCATTAACTAGCAAATACACGGCGTGCTTCAAAGTATTTTTGTACTGTATTTTGTTGTAATATTTCGTTTATTTTGTCAATTTATAATAATATAATTTTTCAACCGGATGGCAACCCTCCTCCAAAATATTTTCAGCAGTAAACTTTCCCAAACCTCTTCAGTTGGATGCCCATATTGCAATATTAAATTAATCTTATCAATTAAATTGAACTAAAGTTTTCAAACAGGTGGCAACCTGCAAAAATTATTTTCGGCTGTAAGCTTTCTTAAACGTCTTTCTTTTGGCAGTTTTATCTTATCAATTTTTGAACAGGTGGCAACTCTCTGGTTTTTTTTCTTTCTACATTTTAAATTAGGTCGCTAGCAGTACATCCCTTAAAAACTTTATTCAATTCCATGCATTAGTTTTCGAGTGATGCGCGTACAAACATTTTTTTTGTACTGAAAATCTGAAGTTAACTGCCGATTCTGAGTTAACTACGCACTGTGAATTTGGCCCTTACATAGACAAAAATTCTAAAAATGGTTGATTTCGCTTCAGTTGCTCTAACAAAAAATTTTACGTTATTGTTGCCATATATGTATGAAAAAAATATGCACAAACCGACATAACTTAATTAGAATTACCAGACTTGGTGATTACGTCGCGACCGCAAAAAGCAACGAACAGGAGAATAAAACGAAACTGTCAAAAAGATGACAATTTCAATAAAAGCAAGTAAGAGCAGCACTGTCTTCGGCTATGCCGAAGGCTTCATACCTTTCATGAACATCTGCAAATTTGACTTTGACAGATTACTGCTTTTGAATACATCTGCATACATCGATAGAGGAGTTACATACTTATATAAAAAATCGCATCTAAACAATCAGAGGTATGGAAGATATACTTTATATGACACCAATCTAAGTGATTTTCACCGCTATGTGATCGGTATGTAAACCGGTAACACAATTTATTGGGTTTAGTTTCCTACATAAAGGAGATATATGGCAAAAACTGGTATCTGAACAATCAGTGCTATAGGAGATAAAGCTTATACAGCATAGATTTTGACGATTTTCTCAGTAGACTTTGTATTATTATTTATAAAATATCTTACGAAATTTATCGGTTTTAGCTGTTCAAATAAAGGAGTTTTACAGTAAAATCCCATATCTGAACAATCAGATGTATGGAAGATATATGTTGTAGTCATCCGATCCTTGTTATTTTCACTGTAAGTATTCTGTTAATAATGAGTGAAAATGGTGCGAAATTTCATGTTCCTAGCTGCATAAATGGAGGAGTTATGATAAAAGACCTCATATCTGAACAATCAGTTGTATGGGGGCTGCAGGTTATAGTGACCCGATCTTTGTTATTTTCGCTGTAAGTCTTCTGTTGATAATGAGTGAAAACAGCGCGAAATTTCATGTTCCTAGCTATATAAATGGAGGAGTTATAACGCAAAATTTTATATCTGAACAATCAGTTGTATGGGAGCTATAGGTTATAGTGACCCGATCTTTGTAATTTTCACTGTAAGTATTCTGTTGATAATGGGTGCAAGTATTGCAAAATTTCATGTTCGTAGCTGCATAAATGGAGAAGTTATAATGAAAAATCTCATATCTGAACAATCAGTTGTATGGGAGCTATATGTTATAGTGGTCCGATTCTTCCGGTTCCGACAAATGATTAATACATTATAAAAATACACCCACCTACCAAATTTGATCCGGATATCTCGAAAACTGAGAGACTAGATTGCATACAAACAGACAGACAGACGGACAGACGGACATGGCTAAATCAACTGAGCTCCACGTTCTGATCATATAAGTATACATTTTCATGGGTCTATCTCTTTTTCTTCTGGTACTTACAAACATCGGATCAAAGTTATAATACCATTTCATGCTCATGAAAGGTATAAAAATAGTATTTGTATTGTGCGTCTTGATGTTGTCACACAAAGCGCAGGGACCTAGAATTTTACGCCGTCTCTGAAAGACGAATGGATTTTTTGAGCAACTTCTTTGTTTGATTGAAATACACTCGGAGGTTTGACATTGCCTGCCGAGGGGCGACGGCTGTTAAAAAAAAAAACAACTTCTTCTAATTTAGATATTGCGGGGACCGGGGATCGAACCAGGCCCTACAAAGTGGTAGTACGCACCTACATACGTATATGTATGTATATTTAGGATTTATAAAAATATAAATAAAGATAATACACGTTGAAATCGGTGGATGTGGTGTGCAAGTTTTAGCGAATTTCAGTGCACATTAAGTTTTGTTTACTTTCTGTGCTGACGTCATCAATTAGCTGATATTGTCAAATTCGGCAAAAGCAAAGTAACGGCTTTTGTTTTATATACAACCCGTTCCGTTTCCGTTCAAGCAAATGCCAAAGGTTCTATTCTCCGCTAACACAAATTCTACAGGGTGTCATTTCAGCCACCGCGCAGGTCTCGACAAGGCATAAATTTGCGGTCAGTGTTCGGATTCTTTTTACTACTATTGTGTTAGATCTAGCACAACTTTTTCCTAAATCTGATTGCTACCACTCTCCTGAGCTTAGCTTCGGACCTAACACATTTTAATTTTGGCTCATTTTAAAATAAAATAAAAAATAAAAAATACATACCTTATTGTGAGTTCCCATTTGTTTTAACTATTTTGCCGAATTTCTCTTCCAAATAGTTAATATGTCAGACAAAGGATTAAATCTATAAAAACGAAAGGAAAATAATTTTTTATGAGAGACTTTTCCGTCGCGGAAGTGCGCACCGTTGTTTCTCATTGGTTGCCAAGGAGCGACAACTAAGATATTTATAAACGTTTTCCACAAAATTTGCTTTAGTCCAGACGGGGTTCCCAGGCGGAATACGCACCTAAATTGCACAAAGGTTATATTTTATTAAGAAGCATTTCAGTGTTAATATCTCTAGACTCTGAAATTACACCGCCCCTCAGCAGAGTAGATAATTAATATTAATTTGATTTTTTTTTTTTAAATACAACACCAAAAACAACCATAATAGCAAATCTATTGGTTAATGAGAGTGAAAGTAAAATTTAATCGTTGAACAGAATAATTAATTAAAAAAAAAAACTTTGTAAACCTAGAACTCTCGCATTTAACTGCATGCATATATGTATGTAAATCTACCACATTTCTTCGAAATATACCACAAAACTGTTTAGACTTATCTACTACTAAAAATCTTTCGAGAGTCCGAACACTGGTTGCAGTGTTGTATCAAAAATGACATGAAAACAGAGTATGTATGTACTTATCCAAGCGGTTGCTCTTCAAGTGGTAAACTTATTTGTGACTCATTCGCTCTCTACTCATCAGACCACAACACACCGCCTTTCACAGCCGGTACACATAATTACTTCAGGCAGCGAAAAACACTTCAGTCAACAAATGTTTATGTCGTTTAATAGACGCGAATTAAAATATCAAGCGCATTTTGGGAATCACCAGTTGGAAAGCGGATACTATTGTCAACTTGGTAAGTTCAGTTTAATAAAATAAAATAAAATTTGTGAAAATTGTGATAAATGTTTGGCAATGGAAACTGATCAGTGCTGAGTATTCTTGTCAAAATGTGATAGTATGTCTCTTTGCGGCATAGATAGTAGTAATTTTAGGAGCAGGAGACCAATGAGCTGTCCGTTCAGTGAGAGCATTGTGAAATGCCTGTCAGCTGGAGGGTATTTACAAAACATTCCTATACTGCATATGTTTGTATATATGCACATACTAGGGCACAAAGACTGGAGAGATCAATGTGAAATCTAAAAGTATGTGTCATAAAGAGACGCACAAACATACATATCGTCAGCTGAAATGCAAAACACCGTAACAACATCGTAAATGAAATGGAAAAATTTTAATTTTTTTTCATAAAATGATGTGGGGAGTTGTAATTCGATGAAATCCATCATATAAATCAAAAAGCGAATTTTGAATTTTTTATTAGTTATGACTTATGTATGTAGTTGATTAGTTAAATTGAAAAGTGAAAACAGTACTAACACCTTGGGGTTTCATTGAATTTCAAAATGAGCAATTCGCGTGACTGAATGCGATCAAGACCATGATAAAAATATAGTAAGGTAGAACCGCTGAGAGTCACTTTTGAAATTCTTGACGTTTCCAAACAATTTAATTTTTAAATTTACTCACAAACTCACACACACATTTTCATTTTCAATCTCAAGCAAAAACAATTTCGAACAATTTCAATTTTTTATTTTCACTTTTATATGATTTTAAAATGTTGGCAAACTTCAACAAAAAAATCATGGCCGACAAATTGAGAGAACGGTTCTACCTTGCTATGTTTTTATCATGATCAAGACTACTATTTCAGAAAAGTATTTACAATTTTTAATTTTGTAAATGAGAGTAATTGCCACATAGAAAAATAACAGTTTTTTTCTGAGAAGCTATAATTAGCTATAATTTTTATGTCTGGCACCGCAAATAAAATAATTTTATATGTCAATTAAAAAAAAAAACGGGACTTTTCAGGAGACTCGTTTAAAGTTGCAATTTACCGCAAAAATGCAAAAAAAAGGAAACTACTCAAGGCTGTACACGCAATTTTTATGTTTTCGACTTATGACGGTCTTTTAGTATGTATATGAGCGGCATGTTTGAAAAAGAAGGAACTGTGATTGGCCGAAAACCCGAAAGACAGTTTCCCCACACTCAGGGATGCATAGTTGCAAATTGTATTTAAGAAAGGATTAAGAAGATAAAGGAAACCAGGTGTGTATGGGTAAAGATTACTCTTCCGCAAACTTATCAGATTCTTTTATGATCTTCGTAGTTTGTCGAGACAAAGAGAATGTAGCATCGTTCATTCTCAGTACATCCGAACCAAAAATGCACCAACTCAGTCTCAGGAAATCCGTACATCTGCAAAGTAACAGTACTATCCTCATCGTTCAAACGAGATGTACAGGAGTCGTACGTCGATGGTATCTATGGCGACCATATGTCATCCCGATGGTGTGGCAGATTTCCAGAAAATTCCCCGCTCACTTGTCCCTATGATTAGCTCTGGTCCAATCGGATGCTACAAATGACCGCATTCCACCAATTTTAAGTTCAAACTATTTAAGTTTAAACTCGTTACTAGGGATTTGGGCTTTAGAAAATATGTACCCCAGTTTAGCGTTCAGTCTTCTACTCGGAGCGCGGTTTTCTCAAGTGGGTTTTCAAATTTACCTGCCCTCCCAACACAGTTTTTCAGAACAAAATTTGAATGTAAAGGGCAGATTCATTTTAAACCACACTTTGAGATCACTGCCCTAAGTATGGCAAAGACTTCTATTTCGGTCTTGGAGCCGTCGGTTTACCGGTGAGTTTTCTATATCAGCTTCGCACCTAAAGTTACCCATATATATTTCACTTCCGCGAAAAGACTTAAGCTTGCGCCTCTAAGCAGCGGAAGCCAGAAACTTTCCAATATTTTCAGGACCTTCCTAAAAAATATTATGATGCAAGTATGCACATCATCACCATACACGTAAGCAGTGAGAGTATACAAGGTCATTTATAAGCATTTATAAGCTTGCCTTCCCAACACGTCGGCATTTTCCAATACACACCATCTAGGCTCAACTAACGGGAGCATGCAGCTTTGATGGTTTTTTTCCATAGGGACAGAGGCGTTAGTTGAGTGGGTTTATTGGGCATACAAAGAGACGTCTTGAGTCGTGGGGTGTCTCTCCGCATGCCGGCACTCGTTGGGCGCATCTGCATCTAATCTGCTCAGGTACGAGTTTAACCTGCTGCAGAAGGCGTTGGCCAACTTTGGTAATATGGAGGCTTTCATATAAATGCATGTAGTCATAATCAGCTGTCGAAGCGACGCCAGCGCCAACGCAACGCCAAAGTTGTATGTAAACGGGCCTTACGGACTCCAGAGCCACCCATACTTGCTATCAACTGACTAATTTATGTTTCGTATTCGAACTAAATCGGAACTTAATTAAGAGTTAAGAGAGCGGTTGATCCCGGCAACATCCCGGAGTAGTCGCTTTTTTTCAGGGTTTATTTGTGTACAAAATAGTAAACAGATGAATCAATTCAAGAAACACTACACTTCACTTATACTAATATGACCAATTGCAAGATACAATGAAAAGGCTAAAAAAATATAAATGTGGACTAAAAGCACAAACAGTCAACGACGTAGTGTAGACGTAGGTTGACGCAGACACGATCTATCTTATGGGATTCGCATGCTAACGAAAACTTGCCGTTGCTTCTCTCTCTCTATCAACAGTAAATTTGATATGCTGCTACGTACGTCAACCTACGTTTACGCTACGTCGTTGACTAACTGAGCTATTACATACTATATGGGAAATATTGCGAAATTCGCTGTTCGCCGGTATTGTATTTCAAGCATTACAATAACACAATAGCATTAATTGAGAGACTGACACTTTATAGCAAATGCCAGTTTTTTTCCAACTCACTGTTAAGTGTTTAAATATCAGCGAAAAATTAAATGTTATTCAGTTTCGCTCCGCTCGTTTAGCGCGTCGGCCGTAGTTATTGTCGATTTACAGTGAAAATAAAAAAAGTGTTGACTGCTGAAATAAAAATCAGATGCAATTAAGTACCTATATATAATATGAATGGGGAATTTCAAAACAAACAAATGGTGATATTGCATTACAGCTTTCAGTTTTGGTAAAACCTAAAAACCCACTATATGAGAGTGAAAATTGTGAATAAAAACAAAGTAAATTATTCAATAAAAATTTAGTGATAATTGTAAATTTAAACACGCAAAGAATATATGTATGTATGTATGTATGTATAAAAGAATTTGATTCAGTGAAGATTGAAAATAGTGATAAGGTGCAAAATGTTCTTATCAGTGAATTTCGTGAGCGGTAAGTTTGGCACTAAGAAGTTGATTATTTTCAGAACAAAAACTTAGAATCAAACTTTAATAGAAAATATTTTGTTAGGTAGTTGCTTAATAGAAACAATTAAAATATGCAAGTTGCTTCGGCATTTATGACTATTTGAAAATGCCGGTTGGCATTACTTTACAGTGTTCTCGTATTCCCCAGAAAAAATTATCCAGCAGCAAAAATTCTGAGAATTTAGCAGCGTTCGCTCTCAAAGAGAAAAAAATATCTACAGAAGTGCGCGTACGCAAAATTTACAAAAACCTGCTAACTTCGAAACAGCTGATCACTTTCACAGTTGCCACAGGTGGTTCATTTAGTAATTTATTTTCTGCTTGGTGGTGCAATGTCCCCGATGTGGCATCCAGTGTTGCCACGTGCAAATTTCTCCCCTACTAAATTATGATGCATTCAAAAATAAGGAAATCTCCTCCAAATACCCATCCTTGTTCCAAATGGATAGATTAAGTTAGATTTTTGTAGCTTCAAATGTACCCTTAAAATGATCAAATTTCAAATTTACTCAAAACTAACAGCTTACTGCATGCATTTTGTGGAAAAATATGGTAGAGGAAACATCTTTACGGCAACCATAGTTAAAATAAAAAAAAAAATCAGATTTTACGAACCAATTGAACAATTGTAATACGAAATACGTAAAATTAAAGTCAATGAAATTCTCCATAGACCGCATGTACATCACTTTTCGAAAGGCCTGATAGTTTCTGAGAAATTAATCAACAAAAAAAAAAACAAAAAACATCTGCAGTTATTAAATAATTTCTCAAAAACTATTAGGTCTATCGAATGGTGATGTACATGCGGTTTATGGAGAATTTCATTGACTTTCATTTTCCGTATTTCGTATTAAGATGGTTCAATTAGTTCGCAAAGTATATGTGATTAAGTGGAACCACTCTTTTTTTAAGCTATATAACGGTAAATTGCAAATATCTCGAAAACGGAAGTGCATCTTGAGAACAAAAACAAAACTAAAATTTTTGATACAGTGTTATTATTCAAAAAAAAAAAAATAAAATCCCCCTATAAGGCATTTTCTTTACTGCGGAAATAACTACTGAGCAATCTTGAAATTCCGCATACTTCCGCATTGAGTTGTGGAGCATCGCCTACGGTAACTCTGTAGAATACTTGTTTCACCATCTTAACCCATTCACTAGCATGGGGATCATGCATCCCAAGGTAAAATCAAAGAAATCGGCCAACTGCCGAATGTCTCATTGGTAGTTATAAGTATTTCCTTTTCAAAATCAACTACTTTTGGTTCGTTTAATGAGTGCATAATTTTTTATGACAATTAACTGGCATCCTATGTAAACGGGATATATTATCCCGTTGCTGTACATTTAAAGTTTTTTTAAGCTTTTATTGACGCCTGTTGTAAATGCAAATATTCTTTATGAGAAAATATCCACACAACATTAAAACTAAAATAATTCGTTATTCTACTTGCAGAACAGCCCATTGTACAAGTTAGAGCTGCGAAAAAATCAAAACGATATCTGCAACAAAAGGAGCAAAAAAAGAACTTTATATGCGAGATTTAGTCCCAATTAATGTTATGTAAACAGCCCAATGGAACATTTTATCCCAGGTCATAGTTTCTCTTTGAAGGATTTTCTTTGCCTTATTTAATTTTATATCTACCCGAAAAAGTTACCTAAATTTCTATAAGTGCGCTGCTTATAGTATGGTAGTGAAGGGGTTAAGTAATTTGTTTCCAACTTCTTTTTCTACTGCTATTTAAAGAAGTATATTTTGCAGCATGCAAACAATAAATAAAATCATAAAGAAAAAACACAAAGCCTCGAATATACATATTTAAATACATATGTTTGTGTGTATGTAGCTTACAGGTGGCATAATATTGTTGCCGATTTTGAGGGCGATGCCTTTGTTTTTTTTTATTGTATTTAAGATCTTAATGTAATTGTTTAACAAGGAAATTTTCGTATAAAGAGATTTCTTATTGTTTCTATAGGGAAACTTCTTATTGATGTTATTAATAAGAATGTCTTCCGGAGAAGAAAAACTACCTGTTTCTACTTTTACAAGGAAACATCACTTCCCATAGTGAACATATTCTTGTTTTATAATTTTGCTTGAGTTTATTTTTTAGTTATGTAACTGTAGATAATCCCAGGGTGCTAAAGTTTGATCTGAAGGATATTCATCGTCTGCGCTCTTATCCAGCATCCCTTCGCAAACGCCGAACAGGTGACCGACACTGATGACCGATCCCGTTCAAGCGGGTCGAGCTATGAGTGTCGTTCTTGACTAACTCCATGCTTATAGGCTCTTCCTTCGTTTCGGGGTTACCCTCGGCCAACACTTCGGGTATCGGAATGCAATCCTTCTTTCAAAGCCATAGGCGATTACCCCTGTGGAACTGTAGGAACTGTGTGCTGTTTTAACACTTTCTTCTGTTTAAAATACCTACTTGTGTGAGCTCGAAAGCTCTGTCACAGCTTGATATTGTGAGAAGAACGTTTAAAACAGAAGCACTTCCAACTGCAAGCTGACATTGTAAACCCCCTCGCCACCTTCCATTGGTGCGTTGGCAGATGAGGGTTGCAGCACCGCAGGTTGCCTTCGATCTCCCCTGGCGTATATGATTCGAATGGAGGTCAGACTCGTGCTCGCGGACGCACCACCTACAATTTGGCACCGTCCCTCACTTGCCCAATCAGATATGCTGGAAGAGTGCTCATCAGAACAAGTTATCCTTTTGAACTTGCCGTGGTGTGATTCCGCACTTTCGCAGCACAGTGGCTGTCCAGAGTTTTCACTGCCTACTTAGCAACTTCATTAAACGATTTTGGCGCCTCTCTAGCAATGGGTTATTTTGATAAGAAGGTTTATTCTAATTAAGATCGCTCTAGACCCCACTTGATTGCTCTTCAAACTACTTATCCGACACCTTCTGTCCCAGTCAAACTTCCACCCATGCTTATCGATTAACTTATCTGTACTCTGGCCGCCGTGGCCATGCGTCGGTCAGCGGTCGAAGCTTCCGCAGGCGACTTCGCCTGTAACTTTTCCCTGCGGACGATTTCACCTCCAACCAATTAACCATCAATACTTCCTGAGACCGGTACAGAGGATGAGGCCGGTTCTGACCCAGCTCTGCAGGTAATATCAAAATCTGCTTAACCGAACTCTGCCAAATGTTGAAATGTCATCCCACCGTTTGAGATCCAAGGTTACAAAAAATACCTTTTTATACGTACTATCTATAAATTCGGCTACTTTTATGAGTCTTGCTAATAAAACTTATCTATTCTCATTGCAGTTACCCTTCTTGCAGTCATTCTAACTCTCTCTGCTCACTCAACAACAGCAAATATGTCGAACGCTGGTCAACTCTCAGTGCAACATGAATTCGCCCGTAAGTCAGCGCAATTCGCGATCAATTTGTTCAATTTCATGTATCACAGAGAGCCGCAGAAGAATATTATATATTCACCCTTCTCGATACAGACATGCGTTGCTATGGCACGCATAGGGGCTACCGGTGAAACTGCGGCCGAACTTGACCGCGGACTGGGCCTGCCATCGAGCGATGTGTCTGTCATAGCAGACACCTTTCACAACGTCTTGGCCACCTACACAAATAGTACAATTTTGAAAATTGCCAACAAGATTTACGTCATGCAGGGCTACGAAATAGCCCCGAAATTTAATGAAATCGCTACGACCAAGTTCTTTTCCTCTGCAGACAGCATTGACTTCCGCAGTAATGTTGCTGCAGCGAACACAATTAACCAGTGGGTTGAGTCCCAGACCAATAACCTAATTAGAAATCTCATTTCGCCGGACGCTTTGAACGCAGACACACGTGTAGTGTTGATTAACGCAATTCATTTCAAGGGTGAATGGAAGTATCAGTTTCCGAAGCAAGCAACACGAGAGGATAATTTCTACCTGAATGAAGTCGATTCAGTTCGAGTGCCAATGATGAATGTCAAGGAGACTTTCGGTTATGGCGTCATAGCAGAGCTGGACGCAGCGGTGCTCGAAATGCCCTACAAGGACTCCGATCTCTCCATGCTGGTTATATTACCCAACTCCCGCACTGGTCTGGCCAGTCTGCACGAGAAACTGAAGAGCTACGATATCTCAGAGATCACACAGCGTTTGTATCCAACGAAAGTCATAGTGAAGTTTCCGAAATTCAAGGCCGAATATGATATCGAGCTGAATGAAGCTTTGCAAAACGTAAATAATATTTTTTTTTTTGTTAACGCGAAATTGTTTCTCGGATTGATTTTAAAATTCCACTAACACACACGGCCTCTTTTACAGCTTGGTATGGCGCGCATGTTCAGCAGACAGGCTGAGTTCGATCATTTGCTCGAGTCCAATGAGCGATTACAGGTCTCTAAAGTAGTGCACAAAGCCTTCATCGAGGTGAACGAAGAAGGCACTGAAGCCGCAGCGGCAACCGGTAAGCATGACACCTTTTTTTTGATTGCCTAAAACATCTTTAGTTTAGTTACTTGTAATGAATTTATGTTTTTAAGTTTGCCATCATCGTCAAGTCGGCTTTCATTTGAAAGAGACTCATCGCCATTTACATTTACGTTCATACATACTACATACATATATTTATCTGCAGTGCAATAATTATCTACTTGTGTGTATGTGTGTTCTGTTTCTGTTCTTTCATTAGGCGCCATTGTACGCAAAAAACGTTGTGCTATGTCCTTTTCCGAAACGCCGGAATTTCACGCCGACCATCCATTCTTATATTCGGTTATCAAACGAATAAGTCACGGAGCAAATACTTCACCATTTCCATTATTTTTGGGTACAGTGAACAACTTGGATGCTGCGGTCGCATCCGAAAAGCATGATGAATTGTGAAAAACTTGGGCTCATTTAATTTATATAGTAGTTACTATTGTACTTGTCATGCTTTCACATTGTTGTAATTTATCTCGTAAAGTTGGAAAAAACACTAGGAAAAATAAAATAAAAATTAGAAAGCAAGAAATTTTTAGAGGAACGTAAGCATTTGCGTCCATTTAGGCTACCACACAAACAATTAAAATCTATTATTAACAATCCGAATCTTGATAATCATAGAAACATTTTTACTAATCAATTTATTATGCAATACGCGAAACATTATTCAAAACTTCTTTTCTGGCGAAAGGGAGACGAGACATTACATTGAGATATTCTGCTCTCCAGCGGACTTAACGTCCATCCCACCAAGAACGAAATGGTACCCTCTCTCAATGGAGTGCTGCTCACACTCTTTACCAAGTTTAGATATGCATAGGCCATGCTGTAATTCCCGACATGAAGTTGGACAGGAATCGAAACCTTAGGGACCATTCCATGAAAGCCATAACCAATCTATATGCCTGCAAGGAAGTTATCAGAAAAATATTGGGTCTGAAACCAAGCATAAGCCACTGGATGTGCACAGTGGTTAAGCGCCCCATCCTTTTCTATGAGTTCACGGTAAGGTGGCCACCAGCTTTAGACAAGTCCACATATACAGCAAACTGTCCATGCTAATCAGAGAAGCCTTGAGGATCATATCCAGCAAAGTCCCAGAAATTTTACTAAATCATATTCAAACAGACCTTTGCGGCAGATTTCAGGCCAAGTGCAAGGCAACCAAATTGATTGCGGCTCATACCTGGAGAGAACTTAAGTTCGATCACACCGAAATTCTGAACAACATTTCCGTAATTATATGTATATATATAGGGGAATCACAGGTTTTCTTAAAGAATTTCAGAGAACAACTAATGAAATACCCGTAAATACTTGGGACCAGGCTCGACTGCAAAAAACGCATTTTTACTGATAGCTTAAAGCTGAAAAGTAAGATTGAAAGTTGATCTACTCACAAGAGCAAGAAAGCTTTCCTCCGACTCGGTAGTATTTCAGCCTCTTCACATCGAATTACAGTGGTATGGAAACTATACAGCAAACAAGCTAGCAAGGATGAGAATAAATCTGTATTCGTATAGAAAAGTAGCTTATGTCGAAAGGCTGGCTTTAGCTCAAATCGGCATTCGCAGCATACGATTGCGAATGACTCACTGATCACGCTGAGCCGTTGAAGAACTTTTGGCAAATAAACGCGCAAGAAATAGTTCCGATACTAACAAGTCGATATTCTTATTAAGTCTCATCAAAAAATTCCTTGTCGTTTAAAGAATAAAAGGGAATGCCGCATTATACTAAAGCCAGCCTCTCGACATAAGCTACTTTTCCATACGAACACAAAAATATACGCTCAGTAAACTCTGCGCGACATTCTCCGAAGACAAGAAATATATTTGAAGTCGATTTATACATAAAATGGCATGATTTTTGAAGAAATAGGGGAATTTTTAACTTTCTATCCGGCATGAATGTTAGCGTTTGGACATAGTTTGGTTGAGGCCATAAAATAGCTGTTTCTCTGAGATGGAAAAAATACGTTGATCACCATTTTTCTCAAGTTCAAAGCTGATTGTGAACTCTTTTGGACCCACAACGATCCAAAACATTTGCAAACACATACACACTGCGAACATTTCGCTTACTTACAGTAAAATATTTCGTACGCATAACCCTCTTAAAAAATGCCTCTGGCATTATTTCATTACCAGGTCTGATTTAGGTGGGCTGCGCATTCATGGGATTTATAGAAGAGCCTCCCCAATTCTTCGTCGAGAGACCATTTTTCTTTGAAACAAAATTTGTTATTTTGTGGTTAAGTTACGAACCCAAATACATATCAAGAATACTGAAAATTAAAGACAGTAAAACAAAGCTGGACTCGGATCGTAACATCCGTTCACGGATCGAAAACGATACGAAAGAAGAGCACGTGATACGTCAGGCAGTATAAACTGAATGGGACAAAGAGTACGTTCACGTATGTCATAATCCGAAAAATGACGAGTAGTACGATATCGTATGTGATGATTCGAACCCTGATTGGAACATTGGCAACCATCGAAGATGTAGAAATTATTAACATTTTTGAAATCGTTGCATGTGTACTACATACTTAGAGCAATTGTAAAGGAGTTCTTATTTAGTAGCTAGGAGCGACTTAATTAGCAGGTCTTTCAAGTGCGTGGAAGCTATTGAAACTCCACAATGGGGTGATTCACAAGTTGTCGTAACAGTCATATTGCGATAAAGTCATACATTATAAAATGTTTAAACCTGTTTGTGGTTGCTATGAATTTTTAGGAAATGTTTTTAATCAGGGATAAATAGTTAAAAATATAAATAAAATAATTTCAATATGCATTTAATCATTATGGTTTTTATTTTTTCCGCTTAAAATCAATAATTCTTGTTGAGTTTTATTTTTTCACTTAAAAATAATTATTATACACTTAAAAAGTGATGGGAATGAGACCAATTGCATTCAATAACAATTGGTTCCCATTTCCTTTTTATATCGGTTTGAAGTTGTGAATTTGAGGTTCAAAAATAAACAAGTACAATGAATTTTTTGTTTTTTGGATTCGCTCACAAATTCCATATCTTCATACATATGTATATAAAAAAAAATGTTCAGTTCAACTTTGAGCTATGCCAAAAACTCACATCCCCTTCCCTTTCCGCTCCGTTAAATTTGGAAAATGTGTTTTTAAATTATACGCCCTCATTGAGAAGTTTTTTCTCCAACTACAAATTGAGATAAAAAAGAAATGGTAACCAACTTTTTCAAATCGTTTGCTACTTTTTCATTATTTGACCAGCTTAATCTAATGCTGTTGGTCCGATTTCTATCACCTCCAAATTTTTGAAATTTGTTCCACAGGCCTCCAGGCGGAACCAACCTTGACCTTTTTTATGGTGTCGCTACCTCTGAAAAAGATACGTCGGAAATTACGCTTGTATAGCTTTTGAGCTTTTTGAATAATCATTACTATTGAGTGAAAAAATAAAACACATTTGGGGTATTCACAACGGTGTCGTAAGTGTCGTATCGTTGTATATCGTAAACTTTAAACGCCTAAGAAATATATTAACGGAGTTCGCAAAGTACCAACAAAGTCATATTATGATTTTTTGTAGTGCTAAAAAATAGTTGGTTGAAGTTTAAAGTTCTCTAAACATTTATTTAAGCTTTTAAAGTTTACGACATACAACAATACGACACTTACGACACCGTTGTGAATCGCTCAATTATAATAATCACTATTTTTGATAGAAAAAATTAAAATCAGGTAAAATTTTCTTTTCAGCGAACAAAGTTAAACTCAATTATTAAATATTAGTTTTATTTTTTATTGGTTAAATAGAAAAAAAAAAACATATCTGCGTGCGATCGAGGTTTTTTTTGCCATACTTAAAACATGTTGATTTAAGAAAAATAAAATAAAAAAATAATGATTATTTTCTGTTCCTGTTTTTAATCTTTGACTTTATAATACTCGTAATACAAGAGTTGTGAAAAATTCATTAATTTTTTAATGGATTTATGTTACTTAAAGCAATAATGCTACTGTAAAAAATTAATGCATTAATTTTTGAAATGTAATGCAAATACATATCTCAATGCATTAATTCTGAAAAATATAATGCTAATGAAATTTATTTTCATTAAATTATCCAAACTAATGCTAATGAATAAATTTTAATGCATTAAAGCTTTTAGTAACTTTGCTCGTTTGCATTATTAAAAACCATTAAATTTTTTTTCTAGTGATGTATAAATAACCTCTTTTAAAAGGACTTCGAATAATTACTAATAGCTTTTTCAGCTTCATTCTATTATTCCGCCACTTTCTTTCGTGACCTCAAAATTCTACCCCCAATGTCAACAAAGAATTTTTACTTTAAAATAAAATTAGTTAATGTGTTTTTAATGCCATAAATTATTGCAATAGCATTCAATTCAAAATTTTTATGTTTATGCAAAAAAAAATTGCATAAGCACTATTTCCTCTCAATTAATGCATTGAAATTTTCATTTACATTAAATTTCAAAAATTATGGCATCAATTTTTTGTATTAACATTAAAATTGCTATGAATTAAAAAATTTATGAATTTTTCACAACTCTGCGTAATACAACCCAGTGAAAAATGGGAAATGCATCACCTTTTACTACCAAGAAAACATTAACGAAAACGATTGTAACAAAATATGCATCGCAGTGTAAGCGAGATAGTAATGTGTAGCCGAAGATTTGAAACCCTATCGAAAGAAAAGTGTGAAAACAAATTTAAGTATCTATATGTATAAGTATGTATTTTTTCCAACTAGGGATGCCAGATCGAAATAAAAGCTAGATTTTTAAATCGATTCAAATCGAATTAAAAATAAAGCAGCCCCAAAAATAAATGTCATGTACTTTTGACAGGAATTCACTACCACCATATTATTTTGGTGCGCTGAACACGTTACGAAATCCGTTTTGCTCCATGACGTCAGGATTTTTCCCCAACCACAAAAAATATGGCGAGTGACAGATTCGTGTTGAGCTCATCAAAATATCCAAAAATAACGCCCAATCTGAACAGTTTGCATTATTTCCGAACTATAATTTTTCCAATAATAATGTTTATGCTATAAGTAAATTAAACGATGAGCGTTTAAAAAAATAGGGTTTTTAAGGCATTAGTTGCCTGCTTTGGTTAACCTTCAGTGAAATCATTTTAAACAGTTTTTAACAATTTCTGTTTTCGTTTGCAAAAATCGCCTAAGTCTAGAGTTTGGTTTTACTTTAATAATCCATCGATCTTTTATATTTATTTAAACCGTAAGCCATGCTTCAATCTGGCTTCGGTTATTTCAAACAAGCACACAGACTTCTTCACATTGACACCACGAACAACACACACCAGCATTCAGCGCCACTTTTAGAAGATAAAGTTTATTTAAGTGCTTACGTTTTTTTTGTTTTAATCGCTAAAGAATCTATGACACAAAAAATTTCTTGCATTATTCCCCTTACAGCTGTGATAATCACCCGCATTACATCAGTGGGGATGCCAGAAATTCCTCGCCATTTCAACGCCGACAGACCATTTATCTACGCAGTTGTGAATTTAAAGCGAATCTTATTATTTGCTGGCCAAATTACCAACGCCAACATTTAGAAAGCCGAGGCGGAAATTGAAAACAATTTTAAAAATGTAATTCATAAATATCTTTTTCAAATAATCCATTTTGAATTTATTGAACCTCGATGGCTTAACTCATTCATTCGGAACTTTTAGTAAATAAAAATTTTGCAGTTTTTATAATTTTAACGATAATTTCATATGTATGTATGTACGTATATCGAGCACGAATATTTACAGTTGAAGGTTTGTTTTTTGGGCGATATCGAAAAACCTGTCGTATTGCCTTAAAGATGACATTAATTAAATATCGATAAAGGTTTCGAAAGGTATATGTGACGGTTTATTGCAATGAAAGGAGCGTCGATTTTTGTGCGACCCGTGAGTACCTTTTAACTTCTCTTGTCCCCTACCATCGATAATAAATCGATAACAATGTCAATAATAGTATGCAAAGTGACGAAAGATTACTATTGTTGTGTAATGTTTTTTTTTTTTTAAAGGTGGTTTAATTCAATCTATGTACTTGTATATGTATATATATGTACGTTCATTTTAAAGATCCTCATACATACATATGAACCATGTACGTTTTTTTTTAATAATTCATTGGTGGAGGTTTCATTTGTAAATGCCGTCTTCCGTGGTGGTGGTCAACCGCTTTATTCGGAAATGTGTCAATTTTTTCTTCAATACTTCAACATTCATACCTGGTTTATGGTTTCCTGCGAGAGGGAAGTATGGCTTCATAAGCATAAGTTTCTACTATTATGTATCGCATTTAACGAAGCTTATCGCTCGATCAAAGCATTAATTTGTAAATAGTTTTTCAATAATGTATGTACAGTATACTTATTAATACATGTCTTCATCCATCATTTCTCACATGTTTCCATTTAGTTTTTGTTCTGATATGTTTACAAATAAATGTTTGTTGTAACTGGTGGAACATACATATACATATATTCATATACATATGTATGTGTATGTAGTGGTTATGTTTTTCGATATTTTTAGCTAATGATCGCAAGCATATTTTCAATTACTTAATATTTTTTCAGGCATGATTATGGGCAGGTCACTACCCCGACTTCCACCGCCAGAGCTTGTGGTAGATCATCCATTCATTTTTATCGTATATAGTGATATTGCGGAAATATCGCTTTTTACTGGTCAATTTACCAAACCATAACTGCTTATAAAAATGTATGAATGTTTGTGTATGTATATAAATACATGTTTTTAAAACTTTTTTTATTTTAAGCAGATCTTGCATGCATGGAAGAGATACATAGATTTACAGATACGTACATACTATATATTAAGAGAAAAATTTGTTCGACTTACATACAGGTCCAGAAGCATTTCAGTATTTCAAAAATTGTTACTATCATCTTAAAAGCCTTTTTTTATATAAATACGAATTTATATCGTTAATTTATTCAATATATCGTTATTTTTACGACAAATTTTTGACATACCAAATTATTTACATTTATTTATCTACAAATAAATTTCACCAACACCATTATTTTAGAACTCGAATTTTCGTAATTCGTAATTCGTAGCTAAGTAACGGAAAACGAAAAATCCACATGCTGCAACCCTTGCGGAAAAATGTGCAAAATTATTAGACTCTACCGAAAATTAAGTAAAATCGTTAAAATGTCCCGCTACATTAAAATTATTAGACTCTAAAATACCGAAAATTAAGTAAAATCTTTAAAATTGCCCGCTTTGCTTCAACGGCTTGGATCAGGGGTCCCACTGAGAAAAATTTTGTCGAATCCCCCAAATTTCATTGTTTATTTACTAAATAGCAACTAAGTAATTTTCAAATATTGTTTAATACATTGAAATATAAAAGAGTTATACATAAAAAAAAAAAAAAAAAATTAATGCATACCACCAATTGCATACTTTCAGCTATTATGGTGCAATACTGTAGCTTCGTCGCCCAGACTCAGCCACCCAGATTCAGCGCTGATCATCCATTTATCTATTTAATAAGCAAAGGAACTTATCGCCTGCCATTGTTTGTTGGAGATTATGTGAAACCATAGTGATAGTCTCATTAAGTCAACCACAAAGCATCCTCTATTTTCAATTGTTGCATAGAAAAGGACAAAGTGTAGTACACAAAAGTGTTCGGGTATTTATTATTCTTTTTCAGAAATGTCACTCATGTAGTATAATTATTGCAAATAAAGTATAAAAATAAACACACATACATATTTGATTCGGTTACGAAAGGGATTAAGTCAGCATTTTTTTGATACGACAATTTTAATGCAGTTTGATTCGTTTAACGGGGCTATGTTGAACTCCACCAAATTTGCCATATCGGAAAAATTCTGAGTTATTTCCTCTAGTAGTTAACCGATTCATTTATACATTTAATTAAGGGTTGGTTCACTTGATCTTGTTTGTTTCCTGACTTCCCAGTCGACACTTCAAAGACTAAGCCTTAACTAAGCCCACTATGCGGCGACCGTTGACCAAGGAACCGACTGTTTGACATTCCCGATATTTCACGGTAGACGATATGGAACCGAAAATATCGATATTGTACTTATTTAAAGTATCGATTTAAAAATATCGCCTACTCATTAATATCGGAATAAAAAAACTCGATATTTCAAATATCGTTACCAAAATTCAAACAATGTATCTCGTACATAGGCCGCTGAGGTGTAGTGGATAGAAGTGCGCAAACCACCAAAATGATAAACAGTTTCCCATAAAAGTACAATCGCCGTTCAGAGTCGACATAAAACTGTGGGGACCCCCTTTGTGCCTGCCACAACATTAAGGCGCGCGCGGCAAATCAAAGGAGAAGCTCGGCCAAATACTAACATATTGTGTAAGCGCTGCCGCGGATTGAAATCCCACCACATGCAATCCCAACTACGTAGAAGTATAGGTTTATTTAAAAATTGTTTGGTCGGAGTTGTAATAGCACTTAGACTTTATATGCCAATGTGTGACTTCTGTCCAGGATTATTTATAGACAAAATAAGAATGGATGAAGTTCAATTCACATTTGCTACTAATAATAGATTGGCGCTTAGAAAAAACGACTTATTTTCTTTGGTTTTTGTTGTTGTTGTTAGTCGGAGATTGGGCTCTAACGTTTAAAGTATTTTATTGCCTAAATAAAAAAAAATAAATTATCGAAATATCTATAAGAATAATGAACTCCACAGGTTTTCTACCGATTTTCTACAATTTAGGTTATATAGTAAGATGATAATTTATTTTAATTACAATATATTCCATTATTATATAAGAGAATTTAAGTTATTTTTTTGCATCACATTTCGTAAATTTTCTATTTGTTAATAGCCATGACGTCTTACTTCAGTGGACCCGCTGCGCCTATGCAGCCACCAAGAATTTTTAAAGCTGATAGGCCATTCGTATTTTTAATAAAAAATATCAGGAATTCTCTATTATTTGCTGGACAAAAATCAAATCAATATTGAGGAAAGGGATGCTAATGACCTTCGAAAATATTCACAAAAATAAAATAAAATGCAAAAAGACATTTACATAAATTTAAATTAAAATACATACTTACGTAAAAAACATTTTAAATGTACATATATAAATTATATAATAAATTGCATACAATATTTCGTACCTAATGAATAATATATTCACATTTTATTATTAATAAAGAAATTTACATGTTAAATGGAAAGGTATTTTTATACATAATATGTATATGTATGCAAATAATATTTTGTTTTAATTTCTAAGCCTTTTTGGCAAATAAGATACAGCAGCTGAATAACATTAAATCATAATAACCTATGTACATTAGGGTGGTTTAAAAATGCATGTGAAAAGGTAAAGTCAGAATGTTTATGCTCTCCTCCCCTAGGATTGTTCTATGCCGCAAAAAATATACCCCTATTTTTTATTTTGAATTAAAAAAATATTTAGAGGTCGCTCAAAGCGCTCAATGTTTTTCATTTAATTTATATAGAAAAGAAACAACTTTTCGTTGAAATGGTATAAACTCCGTTTGTCTTCAGGAGATTCCCAATAATAATACCCACTTATTTATTTAACCATTTTTTCATAGTAACTATGTTTTATAGGTCCGCCAAAATCCCGAGAAAATGCAATGGGGAGATAAACAACAAATCTTTAGTATTAAAAAATGGTTAAATAAACGGTAACAATACCGTTATTGGAAGTCTGAAGATAACCAGTTTTCCGATCGAAAAATATTGATTTTCAAGAATTCCATACCATTTGTACGAAAAGATGTTTTTTCCCCATATAAAATATATGGAAAACTTTGAGCGATCTCTAAATATTTTTTTTTTTCAAAATAAAAAATTTTGGCATATTTTTTCGACATAAATAGAACAATCCTAGGGTGTGAGAGCATTATAATTCTGACGTCACTTATTTTGGATCACCCTAATGTACATATGTAAAACTGCATATTATCTCCATCAAAAAAGTGGCATTTAGGTTCTTTTGCTGTGGTGACGATCAGGGCCATCGAGAGAAAACTCGGGCCCGAAAAACCACGGCCCCTTATACATATATTGGAAAAGATGTGGTAATTTTCTTTAATATATAGAGTTAGAAACACATCACGAATCGGAATATATTCATAATAAAAGCCTAAGTTCTGATATTTAAGGCCCCTTAAAAAGCCCAAGCCCGGGGGCATTAATCCCTTTTACCCCTCTCTACCGACGGGCCTAGTGACGATGATAAGGATGTGCATATTCGCATAAGCATGTTTCACATAATAATTTTAATTTACATACATACATACATATTTATTGACAGCCTAAAAGTATTCTAACATAAATTTACTAACACATATAGATGTAACATTCAATAACGGGATGCATAAACGCATTGCACATCGGGTAACGAAGCATACATACATATGTACACATTAGGGGTATTCTCTGAGTCTTGCAAAGCCCTTGCATGGTGCACAGATTGCACGGATTGCACGGTTAAAACCGGTTTTCGTATGGGACAGCTTTGCAAACCGTGCAATCCGTGCACCGTGCAAGGGCTTTGCAAGACTCAGAGAATACCCCTATTGTACATACATACATTAGTATGAAGGTGGGCATATCCTTACATTCGGGGGGGGCCATTCCATTAATGATTAAAAACATTTCAATCTAAACCAAAATTTGCTCTTAAACATTTCAGTTTGGCGAATAATGCCCGTGAGTGGGTTCAGACGTAAGCGTTTCATTGCTGACCGCCCCTATGTGTACATCATACGTTCCAGGAAACATGGAATTGTTTTTATGGGACAATTCACTAACAACTAAAACTTGAGTTTATGGCGTGCCTTACAGATTCAATAGAACTCATTACTCTAACGGCCCAATTCTGTGTTTTCTTGATAAATTTTTTGTAAAGAAATTTTATCAAGATTTTTATCAAGTAAAAGCTTCCCTCGTATTCTGTGTCAATATTTATAAAACAAAAAGCTCTACGATTTCCACATAAGTGGAACTGATTTCCACATGTGTGGAACTGATTTCATTGTCACATATGAAAAATATGGATTTAAAAGCAACAAAGCTTTTGACTGTCGTAGCCGAGTAGCTAGAGATGTCGACTATAATTCCGTGTGTCGCAGGTTCAAATGCCGGCACATGGAGTATTTAATTGTTAGAAACAAATTTATTAATATACAAAATGTCTACATTTCACATGAAATTTCAATTTGTCAATAGCATTTTCAATCTTGATAATTTATCAAGAAAAAAGCTTTTGGTTTCTGTGCTAGAATACCAATTCTTGATAAATAATAAAAAAAATGACAAATTATAAAGATTTTCAATTTATCAAGTGCACAGAATCGGGCTGTAAATATACAGAAAGTTTAATAAATATTTTAAAATTAAAAAAAAAAATTAGCTATTTGATTTTAATTCATTCCTTCAATTGAAATATAGACGTACCTAGGTAAGTATGTATGTTATTGAGATCAATTACTTTAAATACTTACAATAGTATATTTATTTTAATTTAAAGTTTAAATTGCATATTTTACGGTGAATTTTTTAGGTATTTTGAAAATTCTCTTCAAAAGATAAAGACGTTCATATAAGAGGCCGACCGATTAATCGACATCGGCATCGGCTACTATCGGCCAAAATAAAAAAAAATTGTTTTTACGACGAATTTTAACAAATTTTCATCAAAATTTGAAACTGTTTAATCCACGGCGGTTTAATCAGATTTTTTTGAGTACGCAGCTTTTTAAAGTTTAGTATAATAAACTGCAAATTTTAAATAGCTAGGACTTACCGTTGATTTTTAGCAATTTTTTGTTTACGCATCTTCTTTCAAACAAAGGATGTTCGACAATTTTTTTGTATGGAGAAAATCAGCAACACCTTCCACAAAAAATTGCCAAAAATCATTGGTAAATCCTAGCTACTTAAAATTTGCACTTCGTTAAAATAAAATTGAATGGGCTAGAAAACTGCATACTCAGAATGTTTAAAGAAAAAGTTTCAAATTTTTACTTACATGTTTTTTTTTTAGATAATAGGGAATTTACATGATTTAACTTTCACAGGCGATTAGTTAAATCAAAAGTTGAACGAAAGTAGGCAGCCGACCAACTTCATTGAAAGCGATTAGTTTAAAGGCCGTTTAAACCAGGCGATTGTTGCTTTCAACTAAAAATCGTCTGAAAAATCGTCTAAATTTTACACACACAAAAATTTATATATTCGCGAATTTATGGGTAAATTATAGTAAAACTGCGTACATAGTTTCGCTCTCTGATATCAGGATTTCTTTTAAAATGACTTTAAAATTCCAAAAATTCGGTGCAATGTAGGATAACAATGAAGGTATCACATAGAAGAAAAAATTCTTTAGAATTATAGCAAAATAAATTTTTTGGTGCATAAGGACGAATGGGTATGGAAAATGTCCTTTACAAATTTTGTCCTGAAATATCCTTGAAAATTTGAAATATATTTTTTGAAAAAAGTATTGTTTGAGGTCTAATATGCGAAAAAGATAAAATTTATGAAAAGCGCATTTTCAATACCTACTCGTCCATTTAAACCAAAAAATATTATTGTTTTTAAATTCCACAGAATTTTCTCTCATTTAGTGCCCATATTGTTATTCTACATTGCACTGATTTTTTAAAATATTTTTTTGAATTAATCTTATCTTTAAAGTTTCAAAGTCCTTTGAAAAAATCCTGACGTCAGAGTCAAAAATTAAAAACGCAGTTTTACTATATTTGGCCCATAGTTTCGTGAGTACGTCGATTCTTTCGAGAGTTTTGAATTTTTTTGTTTTTGTCGTACGGTGTTATTAGTTAATTTTTATTTTTTCGGCCACAAATAATGATTATTTTGTGATTTTTTTTTTTGCTCAGAAATAAAAATTATTATCGAGTTTTATTTTCCACTTAAAATATGATTATCTAACTAAACTAATCTAACTAAATTGCCTAACTTCGACAATTTTTATGGAATTGCATTGGATGAGGTATCAATTTATTCGTAAATAAATTGTATTTTAGATAAGTTCAACATATTTGGCAATTTTCATAGAAATTTTTGAAATTAGAGATGATCAGAGTTCAAAAAATTAATAAAAAAAGGGGCTCATAAAAATGTAACCGATGAAAACTCCCTACAAGCTAAGGGCCGGTTACTCAATGTCTGGTTAACGCTAATCTCCCGTTAAACATAGTTATCGACGTTACCGACTCCCTGTTGTATGCATGGAGTCGAAGACGTCGATAACGATGTTTAACCGCAGATTAGTGTTAACCAGACATTGAGTAACCGGCCCTAAGTCTAACAATACATTGTTATACATCGTTTTAAAGGTATAAATCCTCTTTTCAAAACTTGTCTTATTTTTAACATGAAAAATAGTCAAGCTATTAATAGATAAGTGCAACAAGTACGAAAATATCAGTTTTTTTTGTTATAAATGGAGGGTTCAGGAACTATTTCATGTTGTACTCGACCATACCTACAACCTACACTAGGTTTCGTTTCCAGTGTATTTCATGACTTTTTCTTGTAGCACCGTGTTATTTTCTTTGAGCGAAAAAATAAAAAAAAGTCTGCCTTATCCCGAGTTTCGCCTGAAAAAAAAATTCACCCGAAATTTTTTCACGCGCCCATAGTAAAACCATGGTAACCAAAAGTGGAAAGTGAACCGGTTCGGGGAAAATTAAACTCATGAAAAGGCTGAATGATTATTTTCCGTCCTTGGTCACTACTTAACCTGAGGAGGCAAGACAGCCGCATTATAACTGGAGTTCTTACCCGCGCTTGTCTTATTGAATTAACTTTCGTAGCTGTTGAAGCAAATGCTGATGAGACTAATCATTTGAACCATAGCATTAGGGTTCAGTGTAAACATATTAGCGTAAATAAATAAAAATTTTATCACTCAAAAAAGAATGGAAGTGAACAGACTCGCGATGCAACCCTGCCCAACGGCAAATGACAAATGTCACAATCGACACTTTTCTCAACTCCTTTCTTTTCCGCTCGACTGTCAAAAACCGAGGTACGGAAATTAAAAGAATTTCGTGTAATAATCTTACTAAATCCAAAAAATTGTGATCAGAAATATTACAACCAAGTGATATATTCCACAAGAATACTCTATTTTATGTGTTTTAATTATTATTTTGCTTTTTCTTCAATTTCATGCTCTGCTAACGAAAACTTTTTGGCCATGAATTTAATTGGATTTGTTGCCACCGCTCCATCATACTCGTTCGACTAAATAAAAATGGACTACTGGATGTTGGTGCACAGGTTTATTAGCACATAATGGCCAAGTCTAAGAATCACACAAACCATAATCAAAACAGGAAAGCCCATCGGAATGGCATCAAGCGCCCAATCCGCAAACGCCATGAATCCACTCTGGGTGTAAGTTCAGAATCTGTACAATATTTCAATGAGCGCCTTACTTAAATACTTTCCTTGCTAATTTACAGATGGACGTTAAATTCCTAATAAACCAGCGTTATGCGCGCAAAGGTAATCTGTCCCGTGCCGAAGCCAACAAACGCTACGAAGAGCGCGTGGCAGCCCAAGCTGGCAAACCAAAACCCATTAAGCTGTAAATGTCGCAAATTCTCAAGTGTTGAGAAATTTAGGTATACAATGGGTTTAAAAAACGGGTGAAAATAAATTTTTTTTCTAAATATTTGGTGGTTTATTCTTTGTACAAAAATATTCAGTAGTAAACACTTAGTACTTTGTGGAATGGTATGTGTTCTAACTCGTCTGCATGTTTGCGCCGATAGTCCCACAAGAAGTGATCAATTAATATGGAGTTAATGTACTCCTTATTAAGTTCAATTTCCTTGCGATTCACCTTTTGCAAAATTTCGTCTTTTACTTGCTCAACAATGTAGATGGAGGCCCCGCGAATCTCCACCTCGCGGGGGTCACCATTCTCCAGAATTGTGTCTTTGCTCAACAGGTACAGCAGCTCTGGTTTGTATTCCAAGCTACCAAAATGTATAAGCACCTGCGGTACACGATAATCTGCAAACATGGTTATTTTTTCAAGGTCATTAAAAGCTCCTAGTTCCTTGCCGTGAAAGCAGGACCATATATCTCCAATTAATATTTGTGCACGCTTGTACAATGAGACCCGCTTTCCCTCATAATCAGCCTCGTCGCGAAAGCATGGAAATTCAGTGACTATAAGCTCTAATAAACGTGCGGCAGAATTTTCCGCTGCGCGTACCACATTCTCAAACTTGCCTTGCCAATTTTCCATCAAACGCTTGCCGACTTCTTGCAAGCAAACGATGCGTTTTTCAAAAAGCGGGACTGTGGTTTGGCCATCATCTGAACGGAAAACGTGACGCAATGTTTCAGAGTCAATTTTTGAATAGAACGCAGAGTTGGTGATGTCTATGCCCTCAGCTATAGCGCGATTTATAGCAGCACAGAGGGCAAAGTAGCCGGTATAACCGTTTACCTTGTATTTAGTGTAATCAGCTGTGGAACAAACGCAAGATTTCAACATGCATAAATCAATTTCAGCGAAAACTTGTTTATCACTTACTGGGCGTCCAGAAACAGAAGTTTAGGGTGTCAACCACAAAGATCCATTCTGCGGCATGGGGATCGGTAGCTTTTGGATGAATATCATTTTGGGAGAAATTTTTCGGATCAAGTTCCCCCGACTGGATGCGACAAATAACTTCCTTTGCAAGTTTGTCGATTCCGTCCGGCTGTACGGTCAAGTATTTAGCGTTTTTGACGATGTATTCGCCAGATTCGCGTGGATTCAGTGTCATTACTTATGTATGTATGTATTTGCACTATTTCACAACTTTTAATTTGAATGCAGCAATAAACTGCGATAACTTCCTGAAAGTGAGAGTTCAAACTCAAGATGCATTTACTGTACTTACCAGCTGCATGATTAATAAATTGTTTGTTTTTTATTGTTAAATTTTTTTAAAACGCATACGTTTTTTTTTATTATTGTGAAAAATTAAAACAAAACAAACGATAGGAGCGAACATGTAGATTGGTTTTAGGGCCCTGCCATACGCTCAGTATTTATAGACGTGATCCAAGTATCGCAATATTTATTGATGGTGTAGCATGCCATCCAGTTGGTAGTACAGTAAATTTGTAGCTTTTGTCAAAATCATGTGTTTGTTGTAATTTGGCTTTGTACTGATTGTCAAGGAGCGTATAATTTGTTGTTGTAATTTTTGTTTTTGTTCTGTTAACACCACCTTGTATAAATTCGCCTTGCAAACCTTCTAGACTCACACGCCACACTTCAGCGAGTTGTCTCCTCTTATAGATTACCGCAGAACTCCACAGGCAAACATCGATGGCCTACCAACTGTCATTTTGACGAGCAATGTGATTGCAAGTTTTTGTGTGTGGGCACTTTGATGTCTTGAAATAAGCATTTGCCGCATGACGCCACCAGACAACATTCTCTCAATTTCGGTGTTTAAAAACATTTAAATCTTTAAAAAACTTGCTGAATAATTTCCTAAAACGTAATCATAAATAATCCAATAAGGAACAGACTTTTATTTTAATTTAATATAAAAATTTCATCGATGTTACCACCAGCACGCTTTCTTTCAAATGAAAATATGGCTGTCAAACTATCGAATTGCCTGCAATAGATGTCAAGCAATAAGCGCTGACATATATTGCAGCACATGAGAAATAGGCGGTCTCCATTGGAAATATATTTTGTGACATAGTTTTCACGACATCAGTGTTTTCCTGTGGAGACAGGGCCTTAGGTTTGTATAGTAACTTCTCCAGTAAAACATTGCAGCGAGAGCGTAAAAGCAAAATATAGCGTAAAATTGAGAAGAAGAGAAAACTAGCAGAAAAAGTTAATGAACACAAAACTAGCAAAAACTTGCAAGTGAACAGTCGTTGCACTGTTGTGACATTCTGCTGTAAACATTTTACTATTTATAAATCAGTCTTAAACTCTGCTTTACACACAAGCACTTACACAGTCACAATATTTTGATTTAAACTCCTTTTACTTTTGTTTGTGCTAAACCAATTCAACAAATGGCGGCTTTTGACATTTATTCTTCTTCTTCTTCAGCTAGCTAATTTCTGCTAGTAAAAATTTCACTAGCAAGAATTTGCAGCTCTCCCGTGTTGTTACGCTCTCGATTGAGTGCTCTCTTGCAAATTTTTTGGGTTATCATACGCTTTTCCAGTAAAAATTTGCAGGTTCCAGTACAAATTAGTACTGACTATTGGTTACTATACAAACCTATTTACGTTCTTTGGTAACGAGTTGTCCCTTCTTATAGATTTACGTTCTTTGGTAAGGAGTGGAGGGAAGTGCTCCCTTCCTGCAATCAAAAACTTATGTTTTGCCAAAGAAGGTAAATTTATAAGGAAGGACAACTCGTTACATAGATTTACGTTCTTTGGTTTTGCTAAAATAATTACCAATCTTTTTGCGGTACATTTATTTGTTTTTGAGTATACAAGTTTTTCACTGGCTAGGTACAATCAGCACATTTTGATTTCCATCCCTGATGACAGCAGAGTAAATTTCGACCAGTTGCCAACACTCGCTTGTGTCTTGAAAAAAAGAGCGAAAATTGGAATTGTTTGCGCTGCGAAATTACACATTTGCAATAAGTAAATTTAATTAATTTGCTAGTAATTATTTACAAAATTGAATTGCTTGGGTGGTAGGTACATAAATGTCATGTCATGATATATAAATGCAATCGAGGAGGATTATACCAAAAATTGCAAGGAAACCAGACGCATGAACCTGCGATTGTCAAAATTTCACATTCATAAATTTTTCCTCGGTTATACAAATGTGAAGGACTGTGCAGAAAAGATAGACCATGAAGTGATAAAATAAGTATTCCATTATTCAGATAAAATACATAAAAAAAAGTGCAAAAATTACAGAATTCAAGGACCATATAATTATGAAGTGAAGTTAATCTAATTCTCAAAATATTTAAATGTACATATCTTTCTATCCACGTCGTGCAAAGGAGCTACTAAAGTGAAAATAATAAATTGTAATCATTATTGCATCATGATTGTAATCATAAATTGTCTAGAATGTAAATATAAAGCGATTGAATGTTCAAACGAAATTTAATTCCACCAATAGTTTAGCAAATTTTATTGTAAAGTGTGCACGAAGTACTCATTCAGCGTGCTGTGGTAGTAGGGAGACGTGCGTTTTCATGATTGTTGCAATTTCGGCATTTTAAGGTTGCTTTACGCAAAGTAGCAGCCAATTCATCGCATCAACACCTCGCTGCATAGGCGATCATCGAGAAGAGCCGTGGGAATAGTCGTGGTCATCAACGCGCACCATCATCGTTTTCAATTATCCCTGCATTTTTTGTCTTATTCAAATTGCTGGTTTTGTTTTGGCACGGTGCACAGCGCACAGTGGTGCGAAGTGACTGCGTGAAACGGAGTATTCCTTTGCTGAAGTCCAAATTTGTATGACTGGCGCTGTCAAAGGTATGTAAGTGTCCAAATTTTTAAATGCCTATACACACATACTAGTTGCGTTCCCGCAGCAGTACGAATAGCAGGTTTTGCAGGATTTACAGGAACAGCTGTTTTCGCCATTAATAAACCTTATGTAAGGTGTCGTGCGGGAACAGCTTCCTGTAAATTCCTGCTATTCGTAATATTTTTCGAGCTAAATGTTTTTTGGTATTTTTATATCAAAAAACGCGTCTAAGCTGTAACCAAAATCACATTTTCAAACTCAATACAAAATTTAGAAAAATTCAACAAATTTTCATCAAAGTTTCAACGTTTTATTCAGAATTCTTAGAAAATTTTTTGGTATGCAGCCCATACAATTTTAGTCTAATGAAGTGCAAGTTTCAAGCGGCTAAAAAATCGCGGTGATTTTTGAAAATTTGTTTTAGTGACGAATTTTTGCACTTTTTTCATATAAGTATGAATTTCTAATGAAATAAAACGCGGTAGACCGTCAGCAACAAAATATCAACGCAAGTTTTTGTAATTGCGCTTGCTATATTAACGAACCGAAAAATGAGCCTCCGAAAAAAATCTCAAAAACGCGATTTTTTAGTCGTTTGAAACTTGCACTTCATTAAATAATTGAGAATAAAAAGTTGAAATTTTGATGAAAATTTGTTGAATTTTCCTAAATTTTGTATAAAGTTAAACTGTGATTTACACTGTTTTGGTTAAAGCTTTTTATATAAAAAAATAATAAAAAAAATAGCTGGAAAAATATTACGAATATTAAAAAAAACAATACGTGGTCATTTGTTTATAAAAAGGTACGATTTTTTCAGCATTCACAAATTAAAATTTTAATGGCATTGTGCAGGAAATGGAAAATTTGTAGAGACAATCATAAGTAAACGATAAACCAAAATACTGTATGCATATGAATGTTTATGTACACGATTAAATATCTTGTTTTACTAAAAGTACAATGCGGCCATATGCGGACGTTTGTTAGCAATAAAAAAAATATGGTGACATTATAGCTTTTCGGGAGGTGCTAATTGGGTGGTCACAAAATACAGAAGAGAATGAACGCCTCTGAACTCATGACTACCAGCTAGCACATAAGTACATACATACATACTTATCACCGCTTTGTAAAAGATTCGGTTGTCTATTCAGTTTTGCAGTTACAAACGATTTCGCGATAAAACACTAACGACTTAAAGAATTGAATTTCTTAATATTTTGTTGATTTTATTTGTAAACTTAAAAGAATTATACAAACGAGGTTTTGGGTAAAGGTGAGTGAGCGCTTGGGTGTGATATTAACTGATCAATGTCGAACAAATGTCTTAAATCCTGCGACATTTCTGTATATTATTATTGATGTAGCACATACGTATGTATATATTATTATTATTTTATATTTATAAAATTTTTATATTATTTGCACACAGTTCAAAATATAAACTTAAATAGTTTTTGTTAGATAATGAGCTTTAATTACATATAGGTATAAAAAATAAATAATATATAATAAACACAAGACCAACAGGCAAAATGCGCGATTTATTCACATGGAATTCGCCATAAGGCTGAATGTTTGACCAGCGACTGATTAGTACTACCGAAAAAATAAAGTCGATTGTTGGCAAACCTGTTGATAACTTTCTAATGGCTTGGCGAATGTTTTAATTCGTCGTGTCTTTGAAAACCTTTTACAATAACTAAGTTCGAACAACCGCTCTTTAATTCTGCGTGTTCTTATCCAATAAATATACAATTTTCGAGTACCTTATCTGTCTTCTTTCGGACAGTTTCGGCGCTGGTATTGTCAACTTGTCAACAAACATCATATAAATCCCCTTTTTAAACTTTGAACAAACATTATAAAAATTCGGCAAATTTTCACCAAATTTTCAAACTTTATTCAGAATTTTTAGAAAAATTTTTCGTATGAAGTTTTGTAGCCCATTCTATTTTAGTATAACAAAGTGTGCGCGGCATTTTTTTTTTTATGGAAGAGAATGCCTAGCATCGCCAACAAAAAGTTTTGAAAAATCAACGGTATTTACCAGCCGCTTGAAACTTACACTTTATTATGCTAAAATTGAATGGGCTACAAAACTACATACCAAAACTTTTTTGATGGACTTGGGCGAGCCTAAAATGTTGACCAAAAATTGTCCTCTTTCACAGATTGTTTTTAGAGCAATAATGAATCATATTTTTGCAATTACCAATCAAAATTCTAAAAAAAAAAGTGGATTTTCGGCCCACGCTAATAGGCAATTCAATCCATCATTGCGTACATTGCTTTCGAGCGGCTACAATTTCAAGTATGTAGTCATTATTGTGGCTTAAAACTATAAGCTTCGGTCTGTCTAATAGCAAACAACATAACGATTGATAGGCCTTTCTCGTGCTACGCTCAATTTGGCTACGATAAGATTTCTATGCACCAATTTCATTATCGCAAGTGTTCAAGGCGAGTACAGTATCCTTCCAAATAATCCGTAACGGAACTGTATATTAAAAGCACTTGACAGCCTGAATAGAAACGTTTAAGTAAATTTAATGCAATATTATTTCTTTTTGAAAACACCGCATAATATCCAATATACACCACTGCTCTGGACGTTAATGTCAATCGTTTGTGTAAATTAATCGAAATCAATACATTCGTAAAGTACACTGGCGAACAAAAGTGGATAATAGTGTTTTGTTTTTAATATATTTAAAATGTTTTTCCAGCTAAATTTTTGTTTTATTATTTATTGATTTGGTTTAGATCCGGTCATTGGATCATGAAAAAATTATCAGTATTCTTAAATTTTTATATGAGAATTGAAGTCGGTTTTGTTTTTGCTTAAAAATGACTTGTTCTCATATAAATAGGTAAATTTAGGAAAACTGGCATCGATTTTTTTCTTCTCAAACGGCCTTGAGCATTTTTTTCCATATTCCCCGATTTTTTTTAAATTTTGAAAGTTTGATTTATGTGGTTTTTGGTAAAGCATGAACCATTTTTTAAAAAAAAAGTAAAGGAAAAATGTTTACTTGAAAAAAATTCTAGATATTAAAAACAAAACACCATTCATCCACATTTGAGCGCATAGTGTATGTTCATTAGGGTGGTCCGAAAATGCATGTGAAAAAGTAAAGTCGGAATTTTTATGTTCTCACTCTCTAGGACTGTTCTATACCGAAAAAAGTATACCCTTATTTTTTTATTTTGAAATTAAAAAATATTTAAAGTTTTCCATGTATTTTATTAGGGGGAAAACAACTTTTCGTAGAAATGTTATAGAATAGTTAAAAATTAAAGTTTTTCTAAAATCCATTTCATCTGCAGGAGATTCCCAATAATAATACCCAATTTTTTATTTAACCATTTTTTCATCGCAACTATAATTTATAGGTCCGCCAAAAACCCACAAAAAACCCGAAAAATGCTATGGGGAAACAAATAAAAAATCGTTATTATTAACAAGTTGTTAAATAAACATTTGGGCATTATTAGTGAAAGTATTCCGAAGAGAACCAGAGTTTTCCGATCGAAAAATATTGATTTTCAAGAATTCTATACTATTTCTACGAAAAATTTTATTTTTCCCATATAAAAATACATGGAAAACTTTGAGCGCTTTGAGCGACCTCTAAATATTTTTTGATTTCAAAATAAAAAAATAGAGGTATACTTTTTTCGATATAGAGCTATCCTAGGGGGTGAGAGCGTTACAACTCCGACTTTGCTGTTTTTGGACCACCCTAATGTTCATACATTCATACTTATGTCTTTCATCTACCACAAGAAATATCTAACGAGGCAATAATTTGTAATGTAAACATAATTTAAAATTAATATGTTTCATAAGTAGGTCTAACTACTTCATGGTTGTTTAGCGTAAATTAATCACTTAAAGGAAATATGCGAATTGGAAACTGATTAACTTGTATGTATGTACATATGTAAATAGGTACATACAAATCTAGATGTACTTGTACATATGTATGTATGTATGCATGCATGGTGTGACTAATTTGATTAGAAATCACTTCAGCAAGCAACTCCTCGGCTGCTGTCGCAGAGAACACCCGAAGAGCCGCTTGCTGGAAGCAGAGCCACCTTCTAGGTACGTCAGAAAGCATCTCTAAGACAGGGAATGAACGACATTCAACGAGAAACACGTCCCACGAGAGTCGGGTCTTGTTAACAGGACACCCCATATAACCTATATACATACATAGTTAGACCTTTTCAAAGCATCCCACATGATACACCTACCACCGTTTCACTTGACCTCTCAAATCCTCTCAACTAATACCCCTTTGTTGTTGTACCGACTGCGTCGAAACAGCACTTGACTATCCGAGGTAGTTAGTATTTACAAACATATGAACACATGCATACGAATATGATTAGAAAGTTATAAAAGTCGCCAATATAACCTTAATCTTATCTTAAAAATATGAGTGATTGTCTTATAGACACTTGTTTTTTTTTTGCAGTAAGTTGACATAGGGAATAATTTAACAATAAACTTCCACCCACGATGTAACATGTCAGACTCATCAAGTGGCGGAGTAGAGACAACATAAAATACTTATATAAGGTATATTCGGCCTTAAACTTTAAGATGTGTGAAATTTTTCCCAGTACAAGTAATTTTTAAACAAAAAACACAACCGACCTCAATTCTCATATAAAAATTTAGGAATACCGTTAATTTTTGCATGATCCAATGATCGGATCTAAACCAAATCAGTAGGGGACCACCTGTGAGAATTTTTGAAATCGGTCTCCTTTTTTTGAAGTCGGTTAAAAATAAACCAGTTTTAAACTCTATCATGGTTCGTAATGGGAAACCCTTTAAAGGCCTGTATGCAGCTCTCAAGAAAAGCAAAAACTTCATATAAAATGACGTACAAGAAATGGCTAAGAAATTTTCTTGAGTCAAATTTCCTTAAGGCAGTACGCAGTTCTTAAGGAAATTGCTACGCTTTCTACTACGGTTTTCTAAAGTTTTT